GGTTTTGGTTTTGTTTGTAATTTTCTAAAATAATTTTTAACTAAATAAAACAAAAACAACTAAGTAACAAAAAACAAAACAGAAGGGTACTGGCAGTCCAAGCCATATAGTTTCCTCCCCCTAAATTGGCAGGTAAACTCCTCCCGATGCTTTTATGTCACTAAATCGTATTATATTGTATTCTTCTCAAAATATTTCTACTCTAGTTTTGCCGTCTTAGAGAGAAAATCTCCAAAACTAATGAGCTGACTCTTGTGATACTTTAAACGTTGTTTGGGAATATTGTATAGACGATAAAACTCTAACCAACCTTTGTTCTCATCAGCAAAAAATTAATAACGTCATCTCAAAATTTTGCGAAGTATTAAAAAAAAAATATGCTTCCATGCCTTTGATTCATAACTGCATTTCTATTTTTAGCCAATTTTCCCTCTAGAAAGATAGTGACGTCATCGCTTAAATTTACTGAACAAGGTTAAAAAGTGTATATACTGGGTGAGTCACTAAGCACGTGTTCCTCGATATCTCATTAATTATTAGAAATAGAAAAAAGTCGAGGGCCAAAGTTGTACGATTTTTTGCGAACTATACGCTAAAATTATTTTGAACTATTCTGTTTTTAGGGCGTAACAATGTAGTTTTTTTCAATGAAACACTCTATACTTTAATTTTTTCAATTATCTTTGAAATTATGACGCCAGGTTGCCATGTTATTCCAATTTTCTTACAAATAAAAAAATACAGTAGGGTTATTTCCAAAATTTGTCTTACAACATTTTGTGGGAAGATAAAGAAAAATACGCGATTTGTTGTGGTAAAATCAGACTAAATTTTCATTTACAACAGAATGTTATGAAAAAATTCTAAAACTTTAAAATTTTCAAGTATCGATATTTCAGTTTTTTTTTTTTTTCAAATATGCATCTTATTCTAGTTTTTCTTCTCTTTCCTTGCCCAGTATTCTCTACATTTAAAGTTGATAGTTACTGCGATTTTTTACTTTTTTAAGAGAAGAATCATTCCAATGATGTAAGCAATCATGTACCTACTAGGATAAAACCGATTTTGGTAAATTACACACCCTCTAAGAAAATAAAGGGAAGGTGGGCGGGGCTAGTACTTGCTAAGATAAGACCAATTGTGGCAAATGACATAATCTCTAAGAAAATAGAGTGGGTGGAGGGCCTAGTACTTGCTAAAATAAGACTAATTTTGATGAATGATGTACCTTTTAAGAATATAGAGGGCGGGTGGGCGGCGCTAGACCTTGCTAGTGTAAGACCAAACGCTATATTTTTGGAATCAGCACGTCAAGATCTGTAACCTTGATTTTTTTAAGAATCTTTAGACGACTTTTTCAGAAATGAAATTTTCCTCTGTGTAAACCCCCATTATACAAATTTCGACCCATTTTTGACGATTTTCGAAATTTAAGTAAATACATTTTCTTGTAGATTTCAGAAGTCATTCCTTCGATAACTCCAAACGTTCTTCCAAAATCGCCCATTGAAATATCGCAATTTTTGAAAATTTCATAAAATTCCAATTTCACACCGAATATTTGGAAAATATTGCTCCGTTAGCATAAACACGCTATATTTTTGGAATCAACACGTTGGGATCTATATCCCTGAATTTTTTGAGAATTTTTAGACGACTTTTTCAAACATGAAATTTTCCACTATACCCTAACCGCCCACCCACCCTGCCTCCATTTCAGTGATTCATTTTATCTAGTTTGAACGAAAACTGTCTTATACTGAACAGAAATAACATCGTTAGAATGAGAACAGCGTGGGTGGGCGTGGCTAGTACTTACTAAGATAAGACTGATTGTGGCCAATGACATAACTTCTAAGAAAATAGAGGGCGGGTGGGCGGGGCTAGTATTTGTTGAGATAAGACTTATTTTCGTAATGACCGAACAATATTAGGAGTAGTCAGTGGAAAAATCAAACTTAGCCCCGCCCACCCACCCGTTCTTTAATTTTTTTCTTCTGAAATAATAAATGAATCTTATAGGAAATAGTATACCGTAAAAATTAGGATTAGCGCCTTTTTTTATTTTTTTTTAACAGTCTACGTTGTATTAGTTTCCTTTCCAACTCTACAAAAGAATATATAATTAATCTCGCCCACCCTCCCTGCCTCAATTTCTGTGATTCATTTTATCTAGTCTGCTAGGATAAAACTGATTTTGGTAATGGTTTTAACACAATTTTGTAACACTAATGTAAATCTTGAGGTAAAACACGTGGCGGAAATCTACTTATTCAGGATAAACTCATTTTAGTAACGATATGTAAAATTCTGGATGACTATTATTATTATTCACACTTCATAATTTCTCATTCGAGATTTTAAAATAGTCCATTAATGGAATTTAAACTAATCTTAAACTGAGCTATTTTGGAGACATCGTGGACTTGAAACGGGAGGGATATTTTACATTTTATTTTGTATTACGTTTATATATCATTTTCTTACAGCCTGAATATGAACATTTATTCCCGAAATATGTCGCTCTAGAGCGAAGCGTTTCCGAGACCTCGTTATTTTGATTTTAACCATATTTAATATTTGTCTGCTCTGTTTATTTCATATGTATTATAGAATTTTGATGAACTCATTTTGATTTAATCAATAACTCGAATTAATGCATAATTTAATATCATGTCACTTCTTTGTTCAATTATCGTTATAAATTCTAGAGACATTGTGGTGTCCTGGTTTGAATCAAAATTTCGCTCTGAGGGGAAAAATCCGCAAAGTCAACACAAACACAATGAAACATATCCAGCATTTTCGAGTTGAGTTTTTACTTTGTACAATACTTTATAAAATAGAGGTCGGTAGTAGTATTTGTTAAAATATGACTGATTTTGGTAAATCAGTGAACAACATTAAGAATAATCACTGGAATTAAGAGGGGGTGGGTGGGCGGGGCTATTGTTTGCTTGTAAAAGTTTCTATATGAAAAAGTTAAACTAGCTATTACCTGCAAAGATAAGACTGATTTTGGCAAATGACACTCCTTCTAAGGAAAGAGAGGGTGGGTGGGCGGGGCTAATACCTGCTAACTTAAAGCTGATTTTGGTAAATGACATACCCTCTAAGAAAAGAGAGGGTGGGTGGGTGGGGCGAGTACCTGCTAGAATAAGACTGATTTTGGCAAATGGCTACCCTCTAAGAAAAAAAGGGATGGGTGGGTGGGGGTAGTATCTGCAAAATAAGAACGATTTTGGCAACTGATATAACTTCTAAGAAAAGAGAGGGCTGAGGGGTGGGGCTAGGACCTGTTAAGACATATTCTCTAAGAATTGAGTTTTTACTTTACACTTTTTGCAAGGACACGTACATATATCAACTTGGATTAGTCAATGGTAAATGACTGACCAATAATAAGAGTAATCACTGGAATGAAGAGCGGGTGGGTGGGCGGGGCCATTGCTTGCTTATTAAAGATTCTATATGAAAAAATTAAACTTAGCCCCGCCCACCCACCCGTTCTCTGATTTTTTTCTTCAGAAATAAGAAATAAATGTTATAGCAAATAAGTAGCATAACAAAAAAATTACGAGTGACGCTTTTTTTTAACAGCCTACGTTCTATTAGTTCCCATTCTCACTTTACAAATAATATTAGAAGTAGTCAGTGGAAAGTCAAATTTAGCCCCGCCCACCCACCCGTTCTTTAATTTTTTTTCTCCTGAAATAAAGATGAATCTTATAGCAAATAGTATACCGTAAAAATTACGATTAGCACTTTTTTTTATTTATTTATTTTTAACAGGCGACGTTCTATTAGTTCCCTTTCCCACTCTAAATACAAAAGAACATATAATTAATCCCGCCCACCCTCCCTGCCTCCATTTCTGTGATTTATTTTATCTAGTCAATGAAAGGTGGTCTCTCAGAAATAAAATCCTTAGAATAAGAACAGGGCAAAAGAAGATATAATTCACCCCGCCCCCATTTCAGTGATTCATTTTGTCTAATCCGAATAAAAGGTGGATCTTAATTGAAGACAGATAAAATCGTTAGAATGAGAACAGCGTGTGTGGGCGGGACTAGTATAAATGACATGCCATTTAAGAAAATAAAGGGTGGGTGGGAGGGGCTAGTACTTGTTAAGATAAGACTGATTGTGGCAAACGACATACCTTCTAAGAAAATAGAGGGCTGGTGGGCGGAGCTAGTACTTGTTAAGACAAAATAGATTTTGGTAAATGATATCTTCAAAGAAATAAGGGTGGGTGAGCGGGGCTAAAATTTGCTAAGCTAGGCCTGAACAATATTAAGAGTAGTCACTGGAGCGAAGAAGGGGCGGGTGGGCGAGTCTACTGCTTGCTCATAAAACTAGAAAAAAGCTAAATTTTGCCCCTTTCTACATTTAACTGAATTATTTTATTTAGTGTAAAATGGAAATTAAAAAATAACAGTATCGTATTCCCAAAATTTTCTCAGAAATTAGAGTGAACCGTTCCTGATATAATGAATAAAATAAATTGGCTCATTCTTTAATTTTTTGAGCCACCTGTCTAAGCAAATCTAAAAAATATGAACGCAAGGATAAATCACAAGTAAAAACTGATATTTTGCATGACTCATCATATTGTGAACATTTTAGATAGGATTTATTCGGCAAAATTTTGAGCGGACGTCATCAATTTGTAGGAGGGGATAAGCAAATATATTGTGATTAAAAATTGATTATGCTTATCATAACTTTAAAACATCTGCAAAATTTTAATGCATTCGGTTTTGAAGATTCAAAATTTAATTGCAAAATTTTGATTTTTTTCCAAAAATGGATGTTTTGGGTAGAAACTCAACACGGCGTCATAAACTACTTGTTATTCATGGGAAGACCCATGGCTGCGGAGTTTGGAAATATCGGGCTACGTTGCGAAGATGGGGTACAGCGTATAATATGCGGCAGGTCTTTTGGACACTGAATTTAGTAAACATTTCAAGAAAATTAGAAAAATATTTACTTACCCTGCTGGGCTCGTATGGCTGATCCCGTATCCTGACCAAGTACCCGTCGGCACTCTATAAGGCGAAGGTGTCAAACGACTCTGCATTGCCTTGAAACCCGCAAGACGCTTGCTCTCGTACCCTTCATATCCACCCACCTTCTTCTCGTTCATCGACTGATAATCACTAGTGGTAGGAATCTCGCTCTGAGGCGACATCGAGCTGCGAGGACTCGCCACAAAACTACTCGCACTACTGTTGCTCGAAATACTAGACAACAAACTGGTGTCAGCCTGGGCTTGGTCGGTCTGGAACGACTGAAATCCGCTACTGTGAGTCGTCTGCTGCAGCGGTGCTTGTTGGGTCATGTTGTACATGAACTGAGGCTTCTGTGTCATCCCGACGAACGGAGGATTGTGACCCATATTACCGGCGGGATAATGCCAGGTGAACATGGGGCTCAGCAACGGCGACATAGGGGACGGAGTTGGGTTGGTAGGAGTGGGAAGAAGCTCGTGATTTGGAGAAAAAGGTGACGAGGGTGGTGCGTTGGGGATGTGGTAGAGACGAGGGATGTCGGCTTGGATTGCTGGGTCGTCGACGCCCAGAATTAAGTGGCGGGCCTTGTAAATGTTGCCTGAAATGGGAGAAACGGTGTCAACATTTTTCGACTACAAGAAAAAAACACTTACTTGCTTGTCTCTCAATCCCCTTGATGATGCACGCCTTAATCATCTGCTTGGTCTTCTGCCTAATCGTAATAGTGACGTCACAACTCGTCTGAATCTCGTTTATCTGTTCAGATCGGATCTTCAAATTCGCCGAGTCCTCGGGTAGATCAAAAATGATCAAAAGAGGTAAACTTCCAATCAGCAGCTGACGAGCGGTGTACACATTGTGAATATTCCCCGAAATATTAATATTACTTTTCTTCAAACTCGGAATATTCTGATCATGCGCATCAGGAAACATAATCTGACATTTAGTATACTGCATTATAGATTTCAAATTGGAGTGGTTTTTCCCTAAGACGATTTGGTGGTGCTGCGGGGAAATCTGGATCGACATTTGCACCGGAATTTGATTCTAGAATTCACCACAAAGTCATCAAAATTACTAGTAAATCTTGGAAACTCACCACCAAACTTTCACACATGTATTCCATGAGGAGGATTGTGGCTTGCTTAACTTGATCCACTTCCCACTCCACCCCTTTTACTAGAACGATAGTAGCGTGTAGCTTCGACCTGGTTTTGAACATGACCTGCACTTTGTACTGTTCCTGGATTTTGATGACGTAAGGGCAGGTGTTGTCGATGTTTTGAGCCATGATGGGGGGTTCAAACCCGAAGATCAAGGGAATGAGTTGCTGGAATGGAAGGGGGTACTGTGGTGTTAAAGTGGATTAGAGTAACGTACCCGAACGCGACTTCTGGCGGATTCTACACCCTCCAAGTCCCCTGAAATCGACACTTGGTTGCTTTTTTCCATCGGGTTGGACCTGTTTGAGTCGGGAAAGTGTACATGGCATTGGGTTTCTTCCATGACTCTTTTGATGCTAAGTCCTCCTTTACCTGAAATGGGGCAAAGACGACGTGACTACTTAGACTATTCTGGGACACCCAGGGTCGTGACCACATTCATTGTAGAATTTTTCAACAAATACAGTTTGAATATCTTTTCACTTCTCGTGTAAACGAGACATTTCATAGCTCCTAGATTATGAAAAATCAGGTCTTCCGTTTCCGTCTGTCCATCCTCCGTTGGCGATTTTATTACACAAGTAATCTCCTAGGCTATTGGACTACTATGAAATTACAAAAACTCTATCCAAAATTTGCCTATTTATCTCTACCTAGAATCTGATAGTCAGTTCAAAATTTTAATAAATAAATATTTTATTAAATCAGTCTTATTTTTCACACTGTACATCAAGGTTCTTGGAAAAAAAAAATGCAAACCCTTTGAGGTTATACTGATTACGATAAAGGCTAATAGAATTTTTTATCGATTCACCCCTGTCAAAAACTTAATGACGTCACCTCAAAACTTTGTAAAGTCAGTCTTATTTGAAATATGCCATGTAGTCTCTTTATTCATTTCTATCTTTTAAAATTAGTTATACAAAGTAAAAAAAATAATGAATGAAGCAATTTACTTAAAACAAAAAGGCTGCTAATCTTATTTTCCTGAAATTCTAGTCGCTATTAAGTCCCTGTGATCGAAAAAAAATCAAGTGGGCCATGAAATTTATTTTTAAAATAATGATGTTGGCAATGCAGCTATTTGACATTATATTTGACAGTTATTTATCTGTGTAAAACTGAAACTCGTTGGTGTTGCCAACATTATTTTTTTAACATTAAATTTCAAAGACGACTTTTTATTAGACGATATAGTATTGGACTGTATCTATTCAAAGTAGTTTATTTATGCCTGCCAAAAACTTGCTGACGTCACCTCAAAACTTGTACAAGTGGGAAGAGCATTGCAAATGCTTATTTAACACCAGCCCAATAATTTCTACATATTTTATTTACAATTCAATAATATAGAATCAAGATGGGGGTGGATGGGCGGGGCTAATACTTGCATATAAGACTGTACAAAAAAGCTAAACTTAGCTCCGCCCACCTCCTTCTCCGTTTCACTGACTTATTTTATTTACTCTTAAAATGATTTGAATTTTGATTTGACAAGTAATAGAGTCCAAAATTTAAATCAAAGTCAAAGGTGGCCCCACCCACCCACCCCTACTCCGTTTTGATAATTAATTTTATTGGCTCTGAGATGGAAGCTGGATTTTATGTTGAGAAATGACAGAATCTAGGACTAATTTTTTTAAATAAAATTTTGATTTTTATTCGAAAAACCACTTCGACGTCAGCGTTTACATATAAATATTTTAAAATCATATAGATACAATGAGGTACAACTGTAAATCTCGCCCTTCTCCGGACCAATGAACTGATTTATTAAGGTGGAGCTTGTCTGAGTGGGACGAGCATCACCCAGCACCCCTACTCTGTTTTGGTAATTCATTTTATTGGCTCTGGGACGAAAGTTAAATTTTATATTGACAAATAATATAATTTGGGGCTAGGCTTTTCATAAAATTTTAATTTTTATTCAAAACACGATTTTGCCATCAGCGTTTACATCGAAATGTTTAAAAATTATATAAAATAGACACAATGGGGTACAATTGTAAACCCCGCCCCAATTTTCCGGCCAATGAAATGATTTATTAGGGTGCAGCTTGTACAAGTGGGAGGAGCATTAGTAATATTGTCTTTTAAATATAATTATCACGTCTGGTATGCTTATTTAACAGCAGCCCAATAATTTCTAGATATTTTATTTACAATTTATCTATTTTTTATAAAGAGTTTAACAGAATCACCCGTGATTCAATATTATAACAATGTTGTTATTAGTTACCAATATTAAGAGCATTCATTAGAATTAAGAGGGGGTGGGTGGGCGGGGCTAATATTTGCTTATAGGACTGTACAAAAAAGCTAAACTTAGCTCCACCCACCTCGTTTCTCCATTTCACTGACTTATTTCATTTACTGTTAAAAGGATTTAAATTTCAATTTGACAAGTGTCGAATCTAAGATTTAAATCAAAGCAAAAAGTGGCCCCACCCATCCACCCCTCCTTCGTTTTGATGATTCATCTTATTGGTTCTGAGAATAAAGTTACATTTTACATTAACAAATAATAGGACTGTATTTTTTTTTTTTATAAAATTTTGATTTTAATTTGAAAAACCACTTGCTGTTAGCATTTGCATAGAAAAATTTAAAATTCATATAAAATAAACACAGTTTTAGAATTATTTATACAGATTACAGAGTAAATAAAAAAATTGAAGCAATTTATTTCGTTGATTAAAATAAAAGAGTTTGTCCTTATTTTCCTGAAATTCTAGTCGCTATTAAGTCCATTATCATAAAAAAAAAGTTGTCAAGAAGGCCATGAAATTTATTTTTAAAATAATGATGTTGGCATATTCAACATTTTATTGGATAATTACTTGTCGGTGTGAAACTGGAACCCGTTGTTGTGGGCAACATTATTTTTTTAACATTAAATTTCAAATAGTTTTTTTGTCACTGCCAAAAACTTAATGACGTAACCTCGAAATTTTGCAAGGTCAATCTTAGTTGAAATGATTAGAAAACCTTGCTTCTATGTCCATGTAGTTTCTTTATTCGTTTCTAATTTTTAAAATTAATTATATAGTGTAAATAAAAAAATGAATGAATGAAGCAATTTACTTAAGTAAATTAGTAGAGACTACAGTTTCAGGAAAATAAGACTTTTTTCTTTAAAGAAAGTCTTATTTTCCTGAAACTATAGTCTCTACTAAGTCCCGATGATCGAAAAAAAATCAAGTGGCACGATACTCTCTTGTAGACAAATAAAAATTTTGTAATTAAGGTCCGCTTCTTTGGCTCACGACGAATAAAAAAAATCATCAGAATTGAGAAAGGGCGGGTGGGCGGGGCTTATATTTGGTCTGCTTTTTCTTAATATACATAGCCATCTTTTCACAACAAGAAACTTAGGACGGGGTTAAAATGGTACATTCTTTCAAGGAAATATGGATTTTGCAATTATTTTGCATTTTAAACATGTTTTACCTTTTATGTTGTGAAAAGAGTACGTATTTTAAAACAAAAAGGCAAAATGTAACCCGCCCACCCGCCCTATCGCAATTGTGATGAAATTTTTTATTCGACGTGAATCAAGGGAGCAGAGCTTAACTGCAAAATACTTATTTCTTTGCAAGAAATTAAAAACATGTTTTTGAGTATCGTGTTGTTCAAAGAATACTATGTATATCAAGAAAAATAGGCAAAATATTAACCCCGGTCACCCACCCCATCTCAGTTGTAATGATTTTTTTTTATTCTTAGAAACTCGAAACACGTTTAAAACTTCATTACTATTTAAATTGGTACAGGTATGGATGGGGCTTAATCTTTGGCTTTAATTTTTTCTTAATAAACATAGTATTTTTTGAATAACACGATAGTCAAAAACATGTCTTACATGGTAATTTCTTGTACAGAATTAATAAGGATTTTGCAATTAAATTCTGCTCCTTTGGCTCTCGACGATAAAAAAAATCATTCCAATTGAGACAGGGCGGGTGGGTGGGGCATATAGTTTGCCTTTTTTCGTAATATACGTAGTCGTCTTTTCAGAACAAGAAACTTAAAACATGTTTAAAATGGTAAATTCTTTTAGACAAATACGGATCTTACAATTAAGCCCCGCCCCTCGATCTGACAACGAATGAAAAATTCATCACAATTGGGAATTGAGATCGGGGCGGGTCTGGGTGGGGCCTAATCTTTGGTTTAATTGTTTTCTTAATATACATAGTATTCTTTGAATAACACGATACTCAAAAATATGTTTTCAATTTCTCGTAGCTAAATAAGGATTTTTCAGTTAAGCTCGTCCACTTTTCTTCTACAACCTCATTAAATACAGCAAAAGTTTGAACAGCTTATTTTTAGGATTTTTTATAGAAAGTAAAGAAACAAAAATGAATCAAGCAATTTATTTGATTGATTAAAATAAAAAAGTCTGAACTTATTTTCCTGAAATTATAGATAGACGGTATTAAGTCCAATATCATCGAAACAAAGTTGTCAAGTAGGGCATGAAATTTATTTTTAAAATAATGATGTTGGCATTGTAGCCAATTGCAGCTATTTGACATTTTATTTGACAGTTAAGTATTTGTTAGAATGAAATTGAAATACGTTGTTGCCAACCTAATTTGTTAACAGTAAATTTCAAAAATATTTTTTTTACATGGTATGTTTGTCTGCGTCAAAAAACTAATGAGGTCATCACAAAACTTGACTTTTATTTTGACGCAGTTCTCTGAAAGAACGTAGCATGTTCAGACATTTAAAATTATCTTCGAAAAACTGTAATCATATAGACTTAAAGAAATTTCTCTTTTTCTTGTTAATTGCATGACGAAGTAGAAAAATAAAAATAAAAGTTATAAATAAAAAATAAAGTTACAAATATTTCTCGTACCTATGATATGCGAATGATCCGTGTAGCTGATGTCCATCTTCATGGTCACGCGATTGCACCTCGTGTACAAAATGGTCATAATCCTGTCTTTAGCGGCGTTAACGTCCTCTTGCTTTCCAGCGATCCTCACATGAGGATCCTTTTTGGATTTAGCCCCCAATTTGAGTTTGTTGGGCCAAGTTATGTAAGTGTCAGTGTCTTCCATAATCTTCGCGAAGAAGACGTCTGCGGGGATAAGCGCATCGTTGTCCCCTTGAAAACACCCCATCAAACGACCACCCAAGACCCAAAGTGCACTCACCGCTCAGCATTTGCTCTAACTTTTTTCGGTCGACCCTGAACCGGTCCTGGTACAAGTCCGAGATATCTTTTAGTCCGTGTTTGGCGACGAAGTCCCTTAATTCCTCCCTGGAACCCCAGTTGGAGTTGAAACCGGAAGTGGCCGTGCCGCTTTCGGACACTTCGGATAACGTGTCTGAATTTTTCACCTCGATTGCCCGAGGTGCTAAGTAATTGCAAGACATTGCTTGAATTTTTTTATTTGTCGGGTTTTTCACAGTCAAACTAGCCAGCCATTTGATCGCCACCTAAACTGAATTTTCACGAGCTTTGAAAATGGCCGGGATGGACGTCTAGGTGACACTATTTCGGGGTTTCGCGCGACTGAGAGCTGCGCTTCTAGATAAAATTTTTTGCGAAGTTTTTGCTATGAGGTTTTTGTAAATGCTCATCGTGTGGTGGCGGCAAATTTTAAAATTGTTATGTTTGTTGAATATGCTATAACTGTTTGTTGTATTAGGTAAACTTAGACACGTTGTTATCCCCGTAACACCGAAAAGTATCAAAACTACGAGTCCCGTTTAGGATTAGCCCTAAATCCGTTAAATTAGTGTGCGATAGATCGTCAAGTTAGGTTGTATCAGGTCAGGTCAGGTCAAGTCAGGTCAGGTCAGGTCAGGTCTGATGATTATACAATAAGTCTGTGCTACTTCTTGTGGAAAAAGTATTCGAGATCCAGAAAATATGATAGTGAAACCGTTTCCAAGGAAGATCTAATTCCATAATAATTTCAACCTACCGTACATTACAGGAGTGCCAACGTGACTTTCGGCGACTACTTAAACTTAATCAATTACCTTTTGATGCCTGACATTAACTGTATCACTTCATAATATTCTGATTAAGCGTTGACGTTTAACAACTCAGTTGGAATTTTTAGTTGTGGCTTTGTCTATCTACGTCATGGAACCCCAAATTTTAGCGAAATAATTATATCCATTGTGATTCTATATGTTAGTTCAAAATCAAAAATCCACCAAAACCGCAGTTTCTACGAAAATGCAAATGGCAACACTGCCAGTGTCAGTTTTAGTGATTTATTCGCATGTAAATTTATTTGAGGTTATGTTCCATTTCCTTTTCATTGACAGTTCCTTTCCATTTTTACTGCAACTTCAAAAAATCTGTAGTATCAATCTTAGAATAAGTAACCATCAGGGTATTTTTTAACTGCATTCAACAGGTAGTGGATTTTTATAAATGTTTTGTGACCAAGAACCATTTTGCTTTTTTTAATGTATGTATAACATCAACACTAGCGATTTTTTATAAGAACTGCAAAGTTTGAACTGTTTTTTGATTTTTGCAAAGGGTTCGTTTTATTATTTATAATTGATATAATATTGTTACGTGGGTTTAATAAATCCTTGCAAAAGAAAAATAACTGTATTTTTCTGACAAGAGAGTACAATTTTTCAGTCTTATTCAATTCTTTTTTTTTTCATGGATATCTTGTAACAATATGTTGGGTTCGTGCAGGGTCAGGAATATGTATTTATTTTTAAGATATCGCCACAAATAACGAAGAAAATGACATTTTGATCCTGGCGCCTCCACCATTTTTCGTAAGTTATAATGTTTGTTCAAATCGACAGTAACATGATTCACTTGGGTCTAAAGTCTGATTCACAGAATCAGGATTTGCCTTTAGTAATTTTCGCTTAAGTGTTATAAAGTGGCTTTCAAAGTGAACATAAAATAATTTGTGAATCTATTTTTTTGTTTTAAATTTTAACGCGGTACAATATTTAAAGTATTATTTTAAATGAAGCACACGAAAAACGGCTCATAAAAACAAGTTCCTACTTTTATTGTTTGTGATTACGTATTCAAACTTCTATTTTTCAAAACATAGTCTGCCGCAGAATTCTATTTTAAAGTCAGTTTTAATTTGATTTCGAAATTCTTTGAACGAATGAGATCGATCTCTAGTCAAACAGGACGGCTTTATTTTAGAGCTATAGCCATGTACAGAGTTGTTATAAATGATTCTAAGGGGGTAGTTGCCGTTTTGCTAAAATTATGCCTCATTAGGACAGTTCTCACTTGTCATAAATGTCATTTGTAAACTGTCATTTAAAGTCATCGTTTTTATTGTTTTAGCGTTTTTCAAGCGTGAATTACAGCTAAGCAAAAATGTCTGGCCAAATATCGTGATTTGATGAATTTAAGAAACATCGTTAGAGGCTCAGATTAGGGATGTAACAGATTTGTCGAACTGGCAGTATCAACAAAGGGAAATCTCCTAAAAGACCTTCAGTATCTGAGGAACTTGTTGATGATTTAAGGCGACTTGAACAGAATCCGGAAACATCATTGACAAGATTTCCTTAGCAGTCACGAGTTCCTGTTGCGACATGAAATTGAACAAGGGGTCGAAAGTATTGACGAAAAGATGTTACAGAACATTTTTAAAATTAAAAAGAGAGTGAATATATGCCCTAAACATTCGCTTTATTTTTTAATAGTATGAAGACCATATAAAATGAGAGGAGGCACGTTTTTATGACATACTTGGTTCTAGAGGACCAAGGAACTTCAGACTCTACAAACTTTCTTTATAACCGATATAATTAATAAAAGAAAACGTACTTAACGACTTTGATCAAATCTAAAAATTTTGTATTGCACAACCGTGGTCACAGACAACCCATGTTCAGGTTATGTTGTAAAACTGGGTAAATTAAGAACAAAGTGAATTAGGTGCTAAATTAAAAATTGTGTTAAGTTACGATCTTCTTTTCGGCCGAAATTGCTCTGTCAACAAATTCTTGGGTAACTAGATCACAAATCCAAAAATCACTCGGTACTGCGCTTCCACAATTTTTTGCAAATCTTTTACCTGTTCAAACATGTCCTCACAGGATTTCATCTGGTGTGGTCTATTGGTGCTATTTAAAATAGCATTTTTTAAACCCGGCGCCTCCACCATTCTTAGCAAATTATTATATGCTTATTTCTTCAATATCTCCTTAAATAGCGGAGAAAATGTAATTTTTATCCTTTAACTAACTGTTCAGATTGTTCAAACCAGCCGTAATTGAATTCACTGTAATATGAAGTCTGGTCTATCTTTACGGAAATTTTCCCAAAATCACGAATCTAGGCTATCAACAATCAACATACGTCATCTGTTCCACTTAAACGAACCTATTTACAACGAGTTTTGTGTAAATGTTGAACGTCGATTGAAAACCACATTTAACAACAAAATATGTTAGGTTAGAAAACATTTTCTTAGTTTAGTGCCAATCTGCTGAACGCAGATTATTGAAATAAAGTCGTGGGTAAGCGAAGAAAAATGTGGTTACCTCGGTGGGAATCGAACCCACGCCTCTCGCTTTCCGGGCAAGCATGCAGACCACTAGACCACGGGGCGACGTATCTTTCTCCCCTTACCAACGTGTTATTGTGTCGCCACAAAGTTAAACTAACTTCATTTTGTGTTGTAAAACACAAAAGTAAATGGAAGTTGTGGTGACCGAATTTAAATCAAAATTTTCGCGCTGAAATTAACAGCGGCGCTGAATTACATTTGAATAATTTGAATTTGAGAAAGAAAAAAAATCATCAAAAAAATCGTGAAACATAGGCAACCAGGTGCACGGTAACGCTTGGATAATTGGACAATTAGTAGCGCTAGGGGGACTTTAGTTAGAGGGTTGGTTGGTTGGTATACAGAAGGCGGCATGTCGAAAGCGTGAGTCATTATCTTTCTGTTCGGTGTAATTGATGCATGGTGAAAGTCGCTGTAAGTAGCTAAGTGTAAATTGGCTGGTTTGGCAGTTAATAAAAGGGAGGAAGCCTTTGTTTAACGAGAATCAAACGGAACCGACGTCGCTCAGTTTTCCCCAACAATTTAACAATCAGGATTATTGAAATAAACCACTTGTTAGAAGATTTCATGAAATTCACTTAGTCAGGAAAACACCTTTGTTGTTTAATTACGAATAGGTTTCTGGATGCATATACGTAAGTGTTACATTATAACACTTCTTAATTCTTCACACAAGATTGCTAATAGTTCATTTACGCAGTTAAACAAAATTCATTATACGGCGAACTGGCGGGGGATTAAAATAATTTCTTCCCTTAGGCGGTTATCATCGTTATTATCATCGTTATCATGATCACATCATTGGGGCATGTCCTCCCCACGTTAAAAATTTATTGCATCATCGAGGCTTGTCCTCACAATGCTACAGATTGATTGCTTTATCGAGACATGTCCTCGCAGCGCTAAAAATATACATCATCGAGGTATTCCCTCACAACAATCAAATTACATCACCGAGACATAATATAATTGGACATAATGTAAACTTTTTGTTTGAATAGTTGATAAAGTGTGGCAAATACTAATCTCATGTAAATTTTGTTAACTTTGCAATTTTTCACCTCATACAATATTTCACCAATCTCACAGTTTTGACCTCAGTAATTTTCCTTTGTTGTATAATTTTCACTGAACGTAAATTTCATGCTCTGCAGTTTTAACCTCACATAATATTTGTATTTGCACAAGTATATTTCACACCAGATCTTTTATTTTATAAATCTTTACTAGTTTCGGACGACATGTTCGTCCTAGAGACGTGTAACGTGCTGTTTGGGTAGGCTTTGCGATAGATAGAATCACCGTCGAAGGGGGAGAACAGCCCCGACCGGTAGCCCCAAACTCCGCTTGTGCTAGAACGCCCCAGGGGTAATTTTGTTGTGCTCCTGTTAACTGCCGTAACTCTAAATCTGCCGCTACACGCCCGTAATAACTTGTGTATTTGTATCCAGTTACTTTAATTCAGATTTTGCTTTGTTTTACTAAATTTGTGATATTCAAATATTTGCATTGATTCAGAACGAAGTGATATTTCCATCGCAACACAAAATTCGTTTAGCTAATAAATCGTCTGAATTATCACAAATATTCATCCTACTCATGATATTACTATTGATAATTTTTGTGGTTGTTTTCGATACACTGTATGATATTAACAGTGAGAAAAAAATAAACAATGAAAATAATCGAAAATTCGAAAAATCGAAATATCGAATAACAAAAAATCGAGAAATCGAAATTCCCAAATTTAAAAAATCGGGTAATTGAAAAATCGAAACATCGAAAAACTGGAAAATCGAAAAATCGAGAAATCGAAAAATTAAAAGATCAAGAAATCGTGGAGTCGAAAAGTCGAACAATTGAGAAACCGAAATAGGTCAAAATCGAAAAATCGAAAAGTTAAAAATTGAACAATTTATAAATTGAGAAATTGACAATCAAAATATCGAAAAATCCAAATCTCGTTAAATCGAGAAATCAAAAAACTTACAAATTCGAAAAATTGAAAAATTGAGAGATTGAAAGATCCAAAGAACGAGAAATCGAAAAGTGATGAAGTCGAAAAATCGAAAAATAGAGCAATCGACAAACAAAAGGTTAAAAGTTGAAAATTTGGAAAAGCGGGAAAATCAAAACATGAAAAAATGGAAAACTGGAAAAACTGAGAAACCGAAATAGGCCAAAATAAAAAATTGAAGAAATGATAAATCGAAAGCCTAAACAATCAAATCTCGATAAATCGGGAATAAAAAATTAACAAATCGAAAAATTGAAAAACAGAACCTCTAAAACCAGGAAGCCGAAAAATAGAAAGATTAAGAAATATTGAAACATTAAAATATCAAAAGATTGAAAAATCTAAAATTTAAAAGTCCAAAAATTGAAAAATCGAAAAAGTAAAAAGGTAGACACATCGAAAAACCCAGAAGTCAAAAATAGAAAAGCCGAAGAATTAAAATATTAAAACTGATGTATCTAAAAACTGAAAAATCGAAAAATCAAAAAAGTGAAGTCGAAAAATAGAAACCTTAAAGAATCGAAAAACTGAAAAATCAAAAACCTGAAAAATCAAAAAATTAAAGAATTGAAGAACAGGAAAATCGAAACACTCGAAGTTCAAGAAATGGGAAAATCAAAACATCGATTAATTGAAAAATCGAAAAATTGAGAGTTTATAAAAGTCAAATTTGAAAAATTAAAAAATCGAAAATTTGACAAAATGACAATTGAAAAACATAAAATCTAAAACCGGGGAGTCGAAAAATCAGAAGATTAAGAAATCGAAACATTTGAAAAATTGGAAAACTTGAAAAGTTCAAATATCCAAGAACTGAACTGAAAAATCGAGAAATCGAAAAATCTAAAATTTTAAAAATTAAAAAATCTAAAATTTAAAAATCGAAAAATTGAAAAATCGACACATCGAAAAATCCAGAAGTCAAAAATCGAAAAGTCGAAGAATCGAAATATTGAAAAATCCCAAAACTGAAAAATGAAAGAAAAACTAAAAATGGGAAACTAAATCGGGAAATCAAAACATTGAAAAATCGACAAATTTAAAACGACAATTGAAAACAGAAAATCTAAAACCGGCAAGTCGAAAAATCGAAAGATTCGGCAATCGAAAAAGTAAAAAAATCGACACATCGAAAACTCCAGAAGCCAAAAATCGAAAAGTCGAAGAATCAAAATATTGAAAAATCCCAAAACTGAAATATCGAAAAACTGAAAAATGGCAAACCTGAAAAATCCGAAAACTGAAATATCCAAAAACTGAGAACCTAAAAAGTCGAAAAATTGAGCAACAGAAAAATCCAAAAAGTGAAGTCGAAAAATTGAAACTTTAAAAAAATTAAAAAATAAAAAATCAAAAACCTGAAAAATCGAAAGAAAGATTAACCAATTGAAGAACAGGAATACCGAAACCCTCGAAAGTCAAGAAATGGGAAAATCAAAACATCGATTAATTGAAAAATCGAAAAATTGACAATTTATAAATGACAAATTTGAAAAATTGAAAAATCGAAAATTTGAAAAAACGACAATTGGAAAACAGAAAATCTAAAACCGCGAAGTCGAAAAATCGATTGATTAAGAAATCAAAACATTTGAAAAATTCAAAAACTTGAAAAACTGAAATATCGAAGAGCTGAAATGAAAAATCGAGAAATCGAAAATTCTAAAATTTTAAATATGTATTTAAAAATTATGATACCAAATAATTGAGAAATCTAAAATTTAAAAATCGAAAAAGTAAAAAGTCGACACATCGAAAAATCCAGAAGTCAAAAATGGAAAAGTCGAAGAACAGAAATATTGAAAAATCCCAAAACTGAAATATCCAAAAACTAAAAAATGAAAGAAAAACTGACGAATCGAAAAACTGAAAAATCCCAAAACTGAAATATCCAAAAACTGAGAATCTAAAGAATCGAAAAATTGAGAAATCGAAAAATAAAAAAAGTGACGTCGAAATATCGAAACCTTAAAAAAATCGAAAAATTGAAAAATCAAAAACCTACAAAATCGTAAGATCGAAAAATTGAATAATAAGTAAACTGAAAAGTCCCAAAAATTGAAATCTCCAAATACTGAGAAATTATAAAGTTGAAAAATTGAGACATCGAAAAATCAAAAAAGGGAAGTTGAAAAATCGAAACCTGAAAAATTAGAAAAATTGATAGACCACAAAACCTAAAAAATCAATTAATTAAAAAATCTACAAATAAAGAGTTTATAAAAGTCAAAAATTGAAAAATCGAAATATTTAAAAATCGTAAAATTGAAGAGAAAAACTGAAAACCAAGAAATTGAAAAATTGAGAAATTGTAAAATCCAAAAATTGAAAAATAAATAGTAAACTGAAAAGTCCCCAAACTAAAATTTCGAAAAACTGAGAATTCGAAAGTTGAAACAGCAGAAATTATGCTCGAAACCGGTTAGAATGTGTATCAGATCGCGGATCATGACTTATAAATCAAATCGTTTCCGAACGCTTAGAGTCGACATTGGCCTGACTGCGCTCTGGTCTGTAGATCAAACGAGTTCTCAGGCGACGAACTGTAATTCGTGTGACCTGAATTAAAGTGAAGGAAACAGTAAGCAGCTTGTAATATTCTGGTAAATCTAGTGCCAATTTGTCTAAAGTAAAACGCGTCGTTAAAAATATTATGACATTTTTTCTAGTTAATTTTATTCATAGTTAGAAACAAACACTGTTGCCAGCATAAGTCGAGAAGTCCTCAACCGTCATTTAATTTAAACTATGACGCTTCTCTATGTCCTCTGTACATATAATGTCGCTGGAACTCTAAAATAACTCATCTATCACATATAATATTGTGGGTTTTATGCAGTGTTAACCTAACAAAAAAGAAAATTCACTGCACACCATTTAATAAAATTCTTTTACTCATATGATTGTTTATCAGAACATTTAAACTGACATCGCATACGCACGAAATTAGAAATCTGATTTCCGCATAACTGATTTCCAAATTTCGAAATACTGTATATTGAGTTGCATAACTCTAGGCGACAGTGACCCGGTCTAACAAAAATAAAATAAAAAATAATATATATAAAAATAAAATATATATTTTAATAAAGCAACTAACCTTGCTAGCTTTCACTCTCAACTTTTCGTTTAACGTTTGTGTTTCGACAAGGTATCCTCAGTGAAAGTTAAATCCGAATCCTAGAGTCTTAATCAAATTCATGACCTAAAATAAACCCAACATTTCAAATTTCCCGCTACGACCCGAACCTAGCACGCATGCTCACTAACCCTGTCACCTGTCAAATTGTTGCTCCTCGTAACTTTGTTGTCGTTCAAACCAAACAACATGAACAAAACCAGCTGACCACCCCAGCAACCACCATGGGCGAAGTCTTAAAGCACCTCCGCGAAAAATCGCGAAAACGCAAGCAGCTCCTCGCCCAAACAGTAAGTTAAAAACTTATAGGTTACGTTCCTCACACCTCCTTTCAGTTGGGAGTCTCCGGCGCCGAAGAGCTCCGCCAGGTCCTCGGCACCGCCTCCGAAGCGCCAAAACGGCGAACCGACCAGCCCAACAGCGAGAACGACAAATACGACTACAAGAAAGACACCCCCAACGAACTGGTGTACCGGGACTCGTCCACGTTCTTGAAAGGAACGCAGTCCTCGAACCCCCACAACGACTACTGCCAGCACTTCGTGGACACCGGCCAGAGACCCCAGAACTTCATCCGCGACGTGGGGCTAGCCGACCGGTTCGAGGAGTACCCAAAATTGCGCGAACTAATCAAACTCAAGGACGAACTCATCGCGCAGACTGCCAATCCTCCCATGTACCTCAAGTGCGACCTGTCGTCGTACGACCTAAAGAATATAAATTGCAAGTTTGACGTGATTTTGATCGAGCCGCCGCTGGAGGAGTACCAGAGGACCATGGGGGCCACGAACATGCAGTTTTGGTCGTGGGACCAAATTATGAATTTGGACGTGGGCGAGGTGGCGGCGCAGCGGAGCTTCGTGTTTTTGTGGTGTGGCAGCTCGGACGGGTTGGACATGGGGCGCGTGTGTCTCAGAAAATGGGGCTTTCGAAGGTGATATTGACGCTCCATTAACGCAGATTTTATTGATTATAATTTCAGGTGTGAGGATATTTGTTGGATCAGAACGAATATTAAGAATCCTGGACATTCGAAGAATTTGGACCCTAAAGCAGTGTTTCAAAGGACTAAAGAGCATTGTCTCATGGGGATAAAGGGCACAGTGCGACGGAGTACCGACGGTGATTTTATTCATGCAAACGTGGACATTGACTTGATCATTTCTGAAGAAAACGAGTACGGGAGTTTGGAGAAGCCAGTGGAGATTTTTCACATTATTGAACATTTTTGTTTGGGGCGGCGCCGGTTGCACATTTTTGGACGAGATAGTACGATCAGACCTGGTTGGTTGACGATCGGGCCTGAGTTGACGAATTCGAATTTTAATCCTGATTTGTATAGTAGTTATTTTGTTAATAACAATATAACTACGGGGTGTACGGAGCGGATTGAGGCGCTGCGGCCGAAGAGTCCCCCGCCTAAGGGTAAGGGGAGCTCCGGGGGCAGAGGTCGGGGTAACTTCCAGCGTGGACGCGGTAGAGGGCGGTAGTTGTTAAAGTAGGATTCAGGGTTTTTAATAAGCGGATACACTTTTTTTTAAAGCTTTTATTGATTTTAACATATGACACTACCAAAGTTGTCCATTCAGCAGTGCTTTCAGATCTAACTTAAAAAATATAATGTTAATCTGGATCACATCACAATAAGCAAATATCAATATAAAAACTATAATAACCATATAATTATGTATTTTATATATAAAAATAGTGGTTTATTTTATTTCGTTCAATTTGCTTAAATAATGAAGCAGTCACGTTTGTTTTCTTTCTTTGAACCTTACAATAGAATTTCACATGAACTGGTTGGTACCACGTTAAGTAGTTTAAAATAATTTTGAAAATTATAACACTGGGTTGAGATTTCAGTAAAAACAACAATTAAAATCAGTTAAAACATTAACAAAAGTACGTAAGTACACTCCTGTTTCTATTGTCGAAACAAAAAAAAAGTTCCTAGTTTAACTTATAAAAAGGTACTTCCTAAAATGTAAAAAATACATTGGAAAAAACAACTATACACTAAATTCAATTCGAGCATACAAATTGGTCTTAACAAAATAATTTAACAGCCTTTTCTAGGGAAGAGAGAAACTTTGTAATTTACAATAAAATTAGGGAAAGTTAGAACTGAAGTCTCAGCAAGAAAATCGTATACTTTTGAATCGAATTTAATTTTTCGTAGTTATATTTTCATTAACTCAGTCTTCACGTTGTACTGGCAATTCGGTTCGCTAGTGGTTAGTGTCGTTCATTTCTAAATTTCCCTAAACGTTAGGGAGGTGTAGGGTTAGGGGAAAAATGGCAAATCTTATCGTAACCGGTAACCAAAGTACTAACATTGGCAAGATAAAATGAAATGAGATCAAAAAAAGCATTTGTACTCTCATAATAACAAAAAAAGGTGTTTTGACTGATTTTAAACTCTTTCGATTAAAAGCAAGCGGATGAATGGATGATTAAAAAAATAAAAAAATGACACAATCCCTTTGTTACATGCAATATTTACAGTTTTGTTCGATGCATGCCCTTCGAGCCTCCCATTCACAGGTACGTGGACTCCCCTAGAAATAAATTTAAGTAAGACTGATTTCCCAACACTGTACACACAACACAAATAAACACAAAGCACAAGCACAAATTACAGAAATAATTACCTGGAATCCGTTCTTGGGCGGAGGCTAACGAAAAATTGAACAACCAACAGGGAATTTTTCGAATTTTTTAATAGTCTCGTTAACGGAAAATACAATCTTACAACTTGAGCTTACACAATACAGTTTATTAAATTTAAATCACTAAGCAAACGAGATGTGATTGTCCTACGATAATTTTGAGGTAGACGCGCTGTTCCCTAACCTTGACACCAATATTAATATTAAAAAACGGCATTCAATTTAATAAACTGTACCCCGCGACGGGCAGTACGGCAGCTAAACGAACATTCTTTGTACTCGGTATATTATTATTTTGTATGAATAGAGGTGGCCCCAGATGTGAGCCTTGAGGGACGCCCGGGAAAACGAAATCTAGAAATACTGGTACATTATGCACGGTTATACATGGATCTTAGTTTACGCAGTCAACAATTCCGGTTGTTGGTCGCCGCTTGCTGTTGTTAGTTGCGAAGCTAACTCGCATTCTGATAAGATTCGGTAGCCGACACCTCGAGGATCCATCGTCTCACCATCCAGGACTGCATGAGATTAACCCCAAACATAGATTAGTAAGACATGCAGATGATGAATAAAATAAAAGTTAATACAACGGACAACACGAAATGGGGATGAAATGGATTGCGGAAGCGTTGTACTTCGACTGACATAACATACATAACAATATGTCGATGAAAAATTTCTCTAACAATAAGTCTTTTCGGAAACCAAACAGATCTAGGCGTCTATAAAATAATATGTACAGGTTGCAGGCTGGTCCGAAACGCGTTCACGCTAATCACGACCACCCTGCCTTGCTAAGTAAATTCGGTTAAACGGTTCTATTACAAAGCCAATTTTTCGCAGCTTATTCATATAACACATTTTTTACTTTTTGAAAACTATACAACAGTTAATTTCCTAATGAAATAAATACTTTTTTTTAATTAGTAATATAGACATTTTTTTCTCAACAGCAATATGAATGACACTTAGAATAATAAGTAACATCACTGGGTTTTGTTTATTTATTTGTTTTTTTCATTTTTATTTTATTCTAATTTTGAGTTTGGACGGGTTGCCGGACAAGACTCGTGTACTCACCGCTTTCCCAGCCTTCTTCGGCTGAATCAGCTTCTGACCATTCAGCTTCGGAACTTTCGCTTGGAGTGTCTTGCGACAGACGAGGAATTTCCTGCGCGTAACTCGGCCAATTCAACTGGCTTTTAATTTTTTCAATCAATAATGTAAGCTGCAACGAAAACGATAGTGTTTAAAAAAAAACAACCACAAAAAATATTTGGTACAATACAAAATCACTTGGAACAGAAATTTAAGCACTGCTGCAATACCTAAACGTCATTTAACAAACAGGAAGCATATTTTTCGAATTTTTAAGGAAATTAAGAAATACAAATATAAGAAATATAGGAATACCTACACAGTTATAACAATACATAAATGGAAATATAAATTTTAGATATTCCAAAACAAACTAAAAAATTAGGTGCGACCTAGGCACATACGGTTTTACTACTACTAGCCCCACCCACCCGCCCTTTATTTTCTTAGAGGGTGTTATTTGTCCAAATTGGTCTTATCTTGGTAAGTACTAGCCCCACCCACCCACCCTTATTTTCTTAGAGGGTCTGGTCATTTGCCAAAAGCAGTTTTATCTTAGCAAGTACTACTCACTCGCGCTGTTTTCATTCGAACGATTTTAGTTCTGTTTAGTATAAGATCGACCTCTCATTCCGACCAGATAAAATAAATCACTAAAACACAAGGCGGGGTGGGTGGGCGGGCTAAGTATATTCTTCTCTCGAATGGGAGTGGAAATTAATAGAACATAGGATGTGAAAAATGTAAAAAAGCGCTAATCGTAACTGTTTTACATAAAAAAATAAAAAAGTAATTTCTTGTATAGAAAATGTATTTCTTATTTCAGAAAAAAAACGGACGGGTGGGTGGGCGGGGCTAAGTTTAATTTTTCCATACCAAGTCTTTTATAAGCAAGCAATAGACCCGTCCACTCACCACCTCTTCGTTCTCCGCCCACCCACCCCCTCTTCGTTCTAGTGACTACTCTTAATACTGTCAACTAGTTATTTGCACAAAGTATCTAGAAAATATTAAGGCGGTGTTCAATAAACATACCAGAGGTGAGAATTATATTTACAAAGCAATATTGCCGATGCTCCTCCCACTCGCACAAGCTCCACCTTAATAAATTAAGTATAAACGTTGACGACAAAGTTGAAAAAATAAAACTTACTAAAAAATATATTTTATTAAGAGAAAAATTGCAATCTTAGATTCTATTTATCTCAGAACCAATAAAATTGACTGATTGAAACGGAGTAGGGTGAATAGGCGGGGCCACTTTATACTTTGTTTTAAATCCTAGATTCTACCATTTGTCAAAACATAATTCAATTCCCATTTTACAATAAATAAAATAAGTCAGTGAAATGGAAAAAGGAGGTAGGCGGGGCTAGATTTAGCTTTTTTCTAGTCTTATAAGTTTCACTTTTTCTTAACGAGTATTTTTATTTTAACAATATGAAACCTTCTCGGATTCTAAATCTATCGCACTAATCTGCCAAAATAATAATAGAATTCAAAATAAAAATATAATTCAAATAAGGTCCCAACTCTATTTTTTAAAAATGTAAAACCTTCTCGGGGGTCCCAAAATGTAATTATTAATTAATATATTGAGTTTGTTTTCAACAATACGATACTTAAAACATAAGTCTAACCTCGAATTCAACAGTTAATATTTTAAGTGTTTTATTGTTGAAAGATTATGTACATCACGAAAAGAAAATCAAAGGATTAACCCCACCCACCCACCCCATCTCAATTGTGGTTATTTTTTTATTCGTGGTAACACGGGGGGGTGAAGCTTAATTGAAAACTTTTGTATTGAATTTGACACAAGGTAAAAGTGAGGTTGTACGGGATTTATGTGAGCATGACTGTACATACATATTGAATCAAACTTTTGACTATTTAAAGAACAAAATCTTAAAGAAAATATCCATAGCATTCATTGTTATCTAATTTAAATTTTATAATAAAATTAATACCAGTAAAATTTTACTGGTGTACAAATACTTTTTAATGGTAGTGTACAAAGTTTTCGCAAATGATTCGTACATCAAAGTTGGCACAATTTGTTCCGCCTCTTACGAAGTGTATAGATAACTATGCCGTCAATTTAATTGCGACGAAATTTCAAATGTCATACTTCATAATTATTCTGACAGATGACATATTAATCATGTTAATTAAAACTTTTTTATGTCTACCATTACAAGTGGCAAATCTGGAGCATTTATAAATTTCACAGGTCACTAGATGCACGAAATAATATTATTTACAAATTTTAAATAGGGTTTATTTAGAAAAATTTTGAGATAACGTCATCGAATTTTTGGAAGTGATAAACAGATAAATTTTGATCTGCAATATACCAAAATATTCGTAAAGCATTTGTGAGGTTTCAGAACAGACAGCTTTCCATTTTCTAAGACGGTTTTCCAAATTTTCCTTTTTTATTGTTACCATTTTGCACTTTTTTTTTAATTATGATTTTTCAAAAATATACATCTCGCAGGTAAAAAATAGTGGCAGATTAATAACACACAGGTATAGAAGCCTATTATTTTATACAATTTGAGTAGGATTATACTTTGCAAAATTTTAAACGACGTCACCAATAATTATTCCGACATTTGACGTATTAATCATGTTAACTAAGTCTACCATTACTAAGAAGTGGCAAATCTGGAGCACTTATAAATTTCACAGGTCGCTGGATGTACCAAACAACATTATTTTACAAATTTTAAATATGATATATTTAGCAAAATTTTGAGATAACGTCATCAAATTTTTGGAAGTGATAAACAGATAAATTTTGATCTGCAATATACCAAGATATTCGTAAAGCATTTGTAAGGTTTCAGAACAGTCAGTTTTTCAAATTTTCCTTTTTTATTGTTACCATTTTACACTTTTTTTTTAAATTATGATTTTTCAAAAATCTACATCTCGCAGGTAAAAAATAGTGGCAGATTAATAACACACAGGTATAGAAGCCTATTATTTTATACAATTTGAGTAGGATTTTACTTTGCAAAATTTTTAAATGATGTCATCAATAATTATTCTGGCAGATGACGTATTAATCATGTTAATTAAGTCTACCATTACTAAGAAGTGGCAAATCTGGAGCATTTATAAATTTCATAGGTCGCTGGATGTATCAAACAACATTATTTTATAAATTTTAAATATGATATATTTAGCAAAATTTTGAGATAACGTCATCGCTTTTGGAGGGGATGAACAGATATAAATTTTGTTCTGCGATATATGTTTATGTGCTATGTTTACGATATTCGTAAAATATTTGCAAGATTTCAGAACAATCGTTTTGGATTTTCTAAAATGAGTTTTTCAAATTTTTATTTTTTATTTTTATGATTTAATATAAGAGTAGATTTTTTTGATTTTTTATATTTTTTTTTTACAAAAATTTACATGTCACAGGTGAAAAGTAATGGCAAATAAATAAAACACAGCTATAGAAGCGTATTATTTTATAAAATTTTGAGATGACGTCATCAAATTATTGGTGGGGATGAACAAATAACTTTTGGTTAGCGTTTAATCATCTAGGTGATAATCTTAAAGCGTAGCCAAAATTCCACAGAAATCTATCCAGTAGTTTTGCGATTAAAAAATAACCGAAAGATGACAGACAAACGCAAATGGGGGACCAAAATTTTCGCATTGTACAAGCCATGAAAGTAAAGCGGACGAAATGTCCAGGGCTATGAAAGACAGTTGAAATGAGGTTCGGGAAGTTACAAGGTGTTTAATAAAAATTTCAACTTGATGACATATATTTAGATTTCTTAAGATTTTTTATCTGTGGGACACTAGTTTGCACAACACCCCTTGAAAATGTTAGCGAATTATGAATCGTATTATCACAATGGAGATAGAAACATGTAGTTAACGGCAGTCATTTTCAACAATTACTATAAGTTTATTTTATTTCAATTTGTTGCATTTGTAAAAAGTTTTAATTTTTTTATTAAACACCCTGTAACTTTAAAATTATACATTTCTGAACATATTTTAATATGCAGTTTTCGTTTTATTTTTATGTCAGAAAGACGCCCCTTAAATTTTTTACATATACCGGGAGTCCTAAAAAAATAATAAAAAAATTCCTTACAATGTAGATAACGAAAAAAACCTAATTTTATAAAAACAACATTGGCAACACTGGCCGCACCTAATGCGTGAATACCTCCGGCTTACTTCATCAGTTCTTGCCAAGATAAAACTGATTTTGGCAAATGAGATACCCTCTAAGAAAAGAGAGGGTGGGTGGGCGGGGCTAGTACCTGCTAAAATAAGAGTGATTTTTTCCAAATTTTGGTTGTATGTAGTGTTACATAAAAATGCGATGTGTAAAAATCACACATATAATCTTTAGGAATTTTGAAAAATATAAAAAAAAATCAAAAAAATATCCCTGATTTAATACGAATAATGATGAAAAAAATGGAAAACCGTAAACCCTGGTGTCTATCATTAAAAAAATGTACGATAAAATGAATCTAATAAAAACTCAAGAGATGTACCGCACTCAATCAATGTCTGATCAGTATCATCGCTTGTTAGGAATAATTTAGATAAGGTCGTGCTACTCTAATGAAAATATTCAAACAGTGAGGCTCCTATTAATACCTGAACTACGCAAGCGGATTTATTCCACGCTCATTTCAAATGTTTGATTTTTCTCAAGCAGTGGCGGCTCGTGACTATTTTGGTTGGGTCGGCCAGCAGTGAGTAACCCAAAGTTTTAAGACATAGAATACAAGAACCAGGGACCTCAAGTTAGTCATTATCTATAATTTGCTACCTGTATGGTGTTAATTCATATAGTCCTAACAACTTGGTAAAACAAAATAAAAAATATTCTTCAAATAGGTATAAAGTAAAGCATATACTTATACAATACAGGGTGTTATTGAAAGGTACGTACAACAAAATTGACAGTTCTTCGCGAGGTCTAAGAAGTCTGAAAAACTTATTTTGTGTTATCAAAATTATAAGAAGAAAATTAACCCTTATCCAACCTTTTTAGACGCTACTGAAAGATAAATAGGTAAAATTAATTAATTTTAATAAATCCTAGCAACTATAACAATAAAAGTTTTGTCAAGACTAAATGTTGCTATAGAAACGAGAGATGATGTTTTTATCAGAGGCGTACAACGAATTTGGACATAAATTTTAATAATTTTTATCTCTGAAAGGAGAACACTTTTACCTGAACTTTTTTTAACTTTTAGCACCCATACTTCGAGACCAATTGCCGAATTTATTTTGTACGTACCTTTTAATAACACGCTGTATAAGCCATCTATAATAATAAAATAACGACAATAAACTCAAATAAAAATGAAAATAACATTCAAGTTATAAAGTAACACATTCTAACAAAAAATATAACATGAAACGTCAACAACTATTTATTAGTAAAAAACAAAATCAAAAAAGTAAATTAGAAATTTTTATAAACCAATTCAATGCGTCTTTGTTTTGTATTGGCAAAGTGGTCAATTACTTGATTATAGAACTTTTGATCTTCCGTTAAGTTTGTAAGCACTTCTTTTTCTATTGCTAAAACGAATAATTTGGATAATCGATTTTGACTAATGGAGTTTCTAGTAAAATTTGTAATTCGCTTTAAAGCTGAAAAACTGCTGATGTGGATGGTAGGTATATGATTAAAATTAAAGACAGAAATAATTTCGGAGGCTTCTACATTTTCGTAAGTAGCATCATCAGGAGCAGGGTTGAGAAATTAGGAAGATGGCAAAAGAGCACGGTAACTCAATATGTCAATCATACCAGACGACCAGAGGCAAAACTCTTTTTCTGAAGTTTTTTTGAATTTATTGTCAACATCATATTCAAAAATTAAACAATATCAACAAAATAGTTTGTTTTTTGACTTGCTCCCCGTCAGCCATTTATAATTTTCATACCATGCTGTATTAATTATTAATTATTAACATGCTATTGCACCGGAGCTGACGTTATTATTGCTCCGTGCTTCGATTAAATGTTGCATGCGCGGCTCCGAACGGGTCATTTCTTTTATATCCCAGGAATTGATCATCGTATGTTAAAAGTCGAAAGTCATTATTTAATAGATGTGTAACAGCATCAAAATTTAAATCAGTTACTAATTCTCTTACTAACTGTTGTCATTGTTACTGAAATTAGAAACAAACCTAAACCAATTTCATCCACGTGAAGACTGCAGAAATTCACAATATACAGACAGCGGCCGGCCGGTGCTGGTAGTGGGGAACCGCATGGAAAAGTGCACGGCAGAAGTGGAGTGATGAAACGGAATATTGTACGGTTTCGTCGCTATTGCATTCTAACTTATACAAACAGAAGGTGATAGCGCTATAACAACTTGATGTACTGCCAAAAGGCCGGCCGATTTTAGCAGACATTTGACCAATCACTGCTGCAGGCGCGTTAATCAGAGGGTATCAGACACGTATCAGTCTTTATAGCTATTTCTCTTTAATTCCGCTAAACAGAGAGCGATAGCAGATATGACATTATTCGACGTTTATTCTTGTAGTCGGCCGGCCTCAGCTGCTGCTCCTCGCAGTAAAAATATTCAAACTTCCCGGCACGATTTGTGCTTCCGAACGAAAGTGAATAAATTAGATAACGCTTTTTGTAATTAAAAAAATAATAACAACAGTAAAATCAGGTGATTTCAAAATAGCTTTAAATTATATTCTTGCGTTTAAAATAAAAATGAATATCGCAAATTGACAAGTTCGGTGACAGACTCGGCCTGGCCTAACTGGCCCCCCCTGACGAGCCGCCACTGTTCTCAAGAACATTTTTAACGATAAAGGGTTGTAAACATAGTAAGCTAAGAATAAGTTCCGGCTAAACGGGTTGACGTCATCGGCATTTTTTTAAGAGGAGTGGGAAAAAGCCTAAACAATGCCGAGATTACAGAAAGCACGTCGCCATGCCACGAACTTGCGAGATCTGTCGACGGACCAAAAACCAATTATTAGTATTATTATTCTTTTTTTTAATAAAATCCGGGATATCCGATATGACTTGCTGAAAGTATTACAACTTAAGCCCGATTTAGAGTAGGCGAATTAAATATTTAATTCGGATTAGAATCCGAGGATCTGACTGGCTGAATTTGACCACGTGATTGGTTAATTGTGTGATTAAGTTATTAGCGTGATTACGTGCCTGCACAAACCGGTTCATAGCATTATTTTTTAATCCAATTAAATTAACGACTTCAGACCACAGCTTCCTCTAAAACAATTTTTATTTAAAATAAACTCGTATGTATAGGTAAAATAATTACGAGTACTATTATCATCTGCTTATAATATTAGATTTGCTGTATCATTGGATTGATATTTCTAGCTATTGTCAGTATCTATAAATTTATTGAAAGTCATAAAATATTTGCAAATGGTGATCTAAATCTATCATACTTCAAGAATATAATCGAAAATGAAAGATATGATGCGAATTTTTATTTTAAACTTATTTAATTATAAATATATTTATTATACACATTGCATCAGATGGTGAAAAAATAAATGACAATACAAAATACAAAAATACGTGACTATCGGCAATGCTCGCAACTATGTTGCCAATTTATACGAAAAATTTTGTTACCTAACTACAAGTAGCAAGGAGTTTTTAAAATGCGATTTGTTGAAGGTTAGCTGATAGAATAATGGAAATTCTCTAGACGTATTTGATCATAGTTCGATTCCGATTGGCAATTAGAGCTGTCTACGACAAAAAATTTTCTTACGTTTAAAAATAAACTTAATTGGTGACTGGTTAATAACAGGAATAAAACCGACAGACTGTCTGTGTACCTTGAACGCCAGTACAAGTGTACTCATTTCAAAATTTATAGCTCACGAAATAATCTTAACCAGATTAAAACCCAACAAAAATGCACTGACGCCGATGATATAATCTGCAACTTTTTACGGATGGTACTGACGCCTAATGCTGTCATAAATAATAACAAAATTAATACAATAATACAGAAAATTTTTATATCTACTGGAAACAAGTACTGTTTGAATGTAAAAAAAAAACTTTATTTTTACGGATACTGTTTTTGTTAGGTTCTGAAATAAATTAAGAGATCAAAAAAAAAAATCATCTTGATTTATTCCAGGAGACCATTTACTTTGTACCCTGTTCCACTAACTACTAAAACGTTACCAATTTTCAAACCTTAAAGATTCCTTAGACTTTGAATATAATAATAGTGGACCCGTCTGGGCTCTTTACATCCACTACGACCTGTTAATCGTTCTTCTCAAAGAATTTCCACTCTACAAAACTTAATTAAAAGGAGAAATTTGTTTCAATAATACCAAAATTATCTTTTCAATTCTTGTTAAAAGAAATGAATCTCTATCAATCCTGAGATTAACTTAATGGATGGACAGAATAATCTTCCCGTTGTTTTATCTTATCCTTGTGTCAAGTACTTAAGCAACTTTAATCGTTAAGTAAAATACACCTCATTAGCGATAGTTCACTTATCTGTAACTCCATGGTAATCAGTGTTTTTGTTGAAATATTTTACAAAGCTTTTGCGTCCAGACAAAAATACCTGAACAATAAAAATTTTCATGTTTGCGGTTGGCTGTGCAGCTAGTTACAAAATTCCCTCACTCATACCTCCTGATAATTCTTTTCCCGTCCACCATTTCCTTTTTACCTATGACCTCTTACCTGAAAATCGGCACTGAACACCTTATTCTGCTTGTCTTTTTTATTCACAATATCGAGTTCGTCCTTCTTCAACGTCAATACGTAAGTTTGTTCGCACGCACCACTACCATTCTGTTCGATGAAACCGTTCGAATTGTCCGCTTGGTTCACAACAAAGAACGTATTAAACCAAAACTGGAAAACTCTTTCTTTCCTACCGATTTTCGACTTATTATAAAACTCGATCTTAATGTCACCGACCAACACAACACACAGATCCATATTGATCACCAACTTCGACACTCCCTTTTTCACTTCGTAAACGCCACTTTTGTACAACTTGTTACATTTCTGAGTGTGCTGGTCGCCTTGCTCCTGCAGCGTCTGTTGAGATATCGAGAAACAGACGTACCCCTGGCCTCCTGCGAACGTCGGCACCGGTTCCAGGATGATCTGCTTGATGTACATACATACGGGAACGTACTTCAATCTCTCCCTTAGTAGGGTTTCATAGTACCTGTGCAACAGACAAAAGAGAGTTAGTTTTTTGGGAAAATCAACTCAAGGTAGATGCATAAACCACAAATACACGAGTATATAATTTTATAAAATTTAAATAGCATTCACTGTGCAAAATTTCGAGGTGATGTCGTCCAATTGTTGGTGGGGATGATTGGCCAAATGTTGGTTACATTACTCATGTTTTTTAAAACTTTACCGATAAAAAACATAAAAGTATGAAAAATATATTTTTAAAATGATAATACTAGGAATTGACCAAAAGAATTTATTGCAGTTTATAATGGAGTAGTATTTACTTTTAATGCATTTTCGTAGCATTAACAGGGAGCAATTTGAGTCGTTGCAAAATAACGGATCAACTTATCGTTCTGTTATTTAGTGTTCTGTGTAACAAATATTGCACAAAATATTGTATAAACTACCTTTTTAATCCCCATTTTATCTGGTTTCGTTTTTAATGTACGTATTTTTCCTTCGAAATAAAGTCTAAACAACTAAATATAATTTATTACGTGTCAATGAAATGTGAAATAGAATATAAACATTTCCCTGGATACCGATTTCGCACATATTTATAAAAAAATTGTCGAAGGTTATTACGATAGAACGCTGTCCGTACTAGTGCGGACAATATGAACTATATTTAAAGTACATACCAATGGAAAAAATGCTTTTCCAAAAATCGAAAAACTGAAAAATCGAGGAGAAATCAAAACATTTTAAAAATGAAAAAATTGAAAAACCAAAAAATCGGAAAATTAAAACGTCGAAAATTTTAAAAATCCGGAAAACGAAATTCTCAAAATTGTCGAAAAATTTAAAAAAATGAAAAACCGACATGACGAGAAATCGAAACACCAGAAAAGCGAAAAATTGCGAAAGATTTAACCGAAAAACTGGAAAATCAAAATTTTTGAAATTCAAAAAATTGAAAAATAGAAACATTGAAGAACCAAAAATCGAGAAATCGAAAAATCTAAAATTGAAAAAACGAGAAAACGATAAATTGAAAAATTCAAAAACTAAAGAATAGCAATTTCGAAAAATTCTAAAACTGAAAGACCGAAAAATTGAAGAATCGTGAAACTGAAAAATCGAGAGATCGAAAAGTCGAAAAAGCAAAAATTAATTGAAAAATCAAAAATCGATTATTCGAGGCATTGAGAAATCGAAAATTTAAAAATTTAGAAACGTCAAAAATTGAAGAGTCGAAAAATTGAAACATCGTAAAATTGAGAAATCGTAAAACTGAGACATTGGAAAATTCAGAAATCGAGAACTTGAAGTGTCGAAAAATTACGACATCGAAAACTGTTAAATTTAACCCAAAAACTGAAAAACGAAAATTTTAGAAATTCGAAAAATTGAAGAACGAAAAATCGAGAAATCAAAAAATCTAAAACTGAAAAACCAAAAAATCCGGAAACCTTTCGGTTTGTTTTTTTAAATCAATTTCAATCAAGAGAAATCGAAAATCCAAAATTTAAAAATTCGGATAATTGAAGAATCGAAGAATTGAAAAATTGAAAAATTGAAAAATTCCAACATCGAAATGAAGAAAAATTGGGAAATTGAAAAATTCTTCAAGTTTTCTTCACATTTTTCAATTTTTTGATTTCTCAATTTTTTGCTTTTTCGATGTGTAATTTTTCAATTTTTAAATTTTAGGTTTTCCAATTTTTCAGTTTTTCTATTTTTCAATTTTTCGAATTTTTAAATTTTCGATTTTTCAGTTCTTCAAATTTTCGTTTTTTAAAAATTTTGTTTTTTTTTTATTTGTTTCTATTTCGGTTTCTCAGTTTTCCGATTATTATCCGACTTATCAATTTCTCGATCTTTTGATGTTTCAAATTTTCGATGTTGGAATTTTTCAATTTCTCGATTTTCCGTTTTTCGATTGTTGAATTGTCCGATTTTTTTTAAATTTGGACTTTTGATTTTTCAGTTTTTCAATTAAATTTTAGATTTTTCGATGTTTCGATTGCTCGATCTTTCGAGAAATTGAAGAATCTAAAAATTGCGACATGGAAAAATGTTAATTTTAACAGAAAAACTGAAAAATAAAAATTTTTAAAATTCGAAAAATTGAAGAACGAAAAATGGAGAAATCGAAAAGTCGAAAAATTCAAAAACTGAGGAATGGAAACATTAAAAAATTTCACGAAAAATTGAAAAACGTAAGGAAAATTGAAGAATCGCGAGATTGAAAAATAGAGAAATCGACAAGTCGAAAAAGAGAAAATTTAAAAAATCAAAAAATTGAACAATCAAATTATTCGAGAAATTGAGAAATCGAAAAATTAAAACTTTAGAAACGTCAAAAATTGAAAAATTGACAAGCCGCAAAATTGGGAAATCGTACAACCGAAACATTCGAAAATTGAGAAATCGAAAAATAAAGAAATCGGGAGATCGAAAATTTGAAGAATCGAGAAATTGACGAATCAAAAAATGTTAAATATAACGGAAAAATTGAAAAATCAAAATTTTAAAAATTGAAAAATAGAACCATTCAAGAACGAAAAACTGAAAAATCGAGAAATTGAAAAATTTTAAAACTGCAATGAAGAAAAATTGAGAAATCGAAAAATTGGAAAACTGAAAATACAAAAAACCGAAAATTTGAAACATCAAAAGATCGAGAAATCGATAAGTCGGAAAATAGAAGAAATATATCGAAGAACTGAAAAACTCAAAAATCCCAAACTGAGACAACGAAAAATTGAAAAATGGAAGAAAAATTGCAGAATCGAGAGTCTGAAAAATTGAGAAATCGACAAGTCGAATCGATTATGGAAGTGGAAAATTTAAAAATCGAAAAATTGACAATGTGAAAAAGTAAAAAATGGAGAAATCGAAACGTCGAAAAATTCAAAAACTAAAAAACGGAAATATTGAAAAATCCCTAAACTGAAACATCGAAAAATTGAAAAATGGAAGAGGAATTGAAGAATCGAGAAATCGACAAGTCGAAAAATAAAAAATTTAGACACGTCAAAAATTGTAAAATTGAGAAATTGTAAAACTGAAACCTCGGAAAATTGAGAAATCGAAATATGTTAAATTTAACCGAAAAACTGAAAAATCAAAATTTTAAAAATTGAAAAATAGAGACATTGAAGAACGAAAAACTGAGAAATCAAAAATACAAAATTAAAAAAATCGGAATATTGAAGAATCGAAAAACTGAAAAATCGAGAAATTGAAAATTTTCAATTTTCGGCAAATTGAAAAATGGGAGGAGAAATGAAGAATCGAGAAATTGAAAAATCGAGAAATCGACAAGCCGAAAAATCGAAGTCGAAAAAACGAAAATTGAACAATTTAGAAACGTCAAAAATTGTAAAATTGTGAAATCGTAAAACTGAAAATTCGGGAAATTGAGAAATCGAAAAATGAAGAAATCGAGAAATCGAAAATCTGAAGAATCGCGAAATTGACGAATCGAAAAATTGTGACATCAAAAAACTTACAGGGAAAATTGAAAAATCAAAATTTTAAAAAATCGAAAAATTGAAAAATCTAAAACCGAAAACTCGGAAAACCTTCCGGTTTTTTCACTTTTCGATTTTTCAATTAATTTCAATCAAGAGAAATTGAAAGTCCAAAATTTAAAAAATCGGAATATTGAAGAATCGAAAAACTGAAAAATCGAGAAATTGAAAAATTCCAAAACTGAAATGAAGATAAGTTGGGAAATCAAAAAATTGAAAAATCGAAATATCAAAAAGTAGAAAAATCGAAAAAGCAAAAAACCGAAAAGTCGAAAAAGAAAGAAAAATAGGTGGACTGAATGAAGAGCCGAAAAATTGAAAAATCGTACAACTGAAACATGGGAAAATTGAGAAATAGAAAAATGAAAAAATCGAGAAATCGAAAACCTGAAGAATCCAGAAGTTCAGGAATATGTTACTTTTTAAGATTTATTCGATAAAATTATAAGATGACACGATTTACCATGCTTCCGATAACCTTACAACTTTTGCGGGATTTCAAACCACTCGGTTTTCTAATTTTAAAGTCAAATTGTAAAATGTTATACAATTTTGATTTTTTTCCCAAAAATCTGGATACCAAAAGTAAAAACTCAACACGGATTCATAAACCATAAATGGGGTGTAGTAAAATGTAATAACATTTACTATTGCGATCTACTTGATATTCCTCACATACATACAAAATTTGACATCAGTTGGTCCAACAGTTTCCAAGATTATCTGTCAACTAAAAATCCGGTCAGACGGCAGACACAGAAAGAAAACATGAAAGTAGCCAATCGCCCAGTAGACGCGATTACAATACCTCTTTAGCTTATACTCTGGAAGTAAAAAATTGGTCTAAAATTATTACAGAACTTCCCTTGCTTGGATTTTTCTGCGAAAATCGGGATTCTTTTGGGAAAAACTCGAGGCAATTTATAAACCACAAGTACAGGAGTGTGTTATGAATGATGAATGAATATGTCAATTTTACTGGTTATTCTATTATTAAAAGTTTGAGATGATGTTTGAAAGGAACAACACAAGAATTCTAACTGGAGATTCAGCTTGTGGGTGATAACCTGAAAACGTGTGCAAAATTTGATACCTACCAAACAGTTTAGTAGTTTCAAAGTTCAATTTTTTTTCGCAACTTTGAATTTTCCCCCTCAAAAAAAAGGAATGAATTATTAGATTTCGGCTATTAGAATACATATTTCTAAAAGAATTCCTGAACAAAATTTTGAGTCGTCATCTCATTAGTGTTTTATTAAAAAAAAACTAAACTAAAACCGGAAGACCTACTTTATCACGTCCTAGGAGCTTAAAAACGTCAACATTTTGACCACTTTTACGCCTTTGAACTTATTTATTATTCATTAAAATAATTCAAAGCCATTGTGACTTTTAAATACACACATAAAAATGCAAATATCTGAAGAATTATGAAGTTAATGACGTCATCGACAATGAATAATAAAACAAAATAAAAAAAATTCCGATAAAGAAAATTAATGTGCATGTTCGACCGCTTTTTTAAAATACTGTTACCTTTAAATTATTGAGCTTACTTATACAAAGTTGTTTCAAAATCATAAATTCAAATCTGGAAATGACATTTTTTTAAGCGATAGAACACACACTTCCTTGTATATCAAGTTTCTGTTAACCTTCTAACACCACAAAATATAGGTCAGTAAGTTGGTGTCGTTAATAATCATTATAGTATGCTTATTAAAGAAATAAAAATGTAAAATAGTAACAGTTTTGCATTCATGTAGTCGACAAGATAGTAAGTTTTTGACTTTAATTAAACCCAAAACTGCACTTAAGTACATTATAATTTCACATATTTCGAAATCTAAATAACTAAAACCGAAAATTTGACGTAAATCGCACGAGGTCGCTGAGTCGCAAAAAATACAGCAAAAAAAAATTATTGCTATTTAATACATCTCCAAACCACAAAACTGACTGTTGTAAATTAATTCCTGACGTCAGCGCATTTTTCAACATAAAAAAGAAATATTTCCTGTAGCCGTATAACACAGGAGAAGATAAAAGTAATTGAACTTACCGCGGAAAACCCAGGGAAAACCGCATCAATCGGCAAGACGTTTTATTCAAGCTTAACGTCAAATAAAACTCCGACAAAAAAGTAGTCGAAAAATAAATTTAAAAAAACTTATAGAGAGTTCGCAATTTAGTCCAACATGATCGTGTTTTATAAGTGTAAAATTTGTCAGACCGCCAATACCTTGATGTTGTTAGTATTTTGGTGCTTGGATACCGAAAGCAAATTTTAATAATTAAGGTACGTAATTTAGTTCACGATTTAATCATAAAAATGATTTATGTTTTTGGAAATTATAAGCAACAATTAGTGCACTACGAAAAAACGACAGGCTTGCGCACGCCATATTAAATTTAATTAGAAAAGATTGAGGCTTGCAACAAATCTGACACGACTATTTTCATATTTTTTTGTTATTTTTACACCGGTGTAGAGATTTTATAAATAGGATGTACTCTATGTATACACAGTAATGAATAAATTGTGAAGCGTACAAGTTTTAATAAAAAAACGAAACGCTTAAGTCGTGTTCTCACGTTATTTCTTATTTTTATCAGTGCGAAGGCCTTATTATGTGTGCAACATTAACCAACCTATATCGAGTTTAATGAAAATACGTAATTTTATAGCTTTTGCTTGTCCGATATGATGATAGGAAGAGAAATCATTAGCATAATTTAAAAAAAGCAAAGGGCTATGGATCGAACCTTCCGGAACACCAAGGCGACTTGATGGAATTCCAATGGTATGCAAAAACTAATTACCTTATGTAGCGCACTTGGCTGGGAATGGTCACCCCCTTGCGATCCTGCGTCCGCGCCTGACCGTAGTGGTTTAGGGCCTCGTCGGCCGTGGCAAAGGCGCCACTGTGAAGAAGATAGCAACAGATCATGGTGCCCGTCCGACCTTTGCCCGCCTTGCAATGGACCACGGCGACGTTTTCGGGGTTCTTCGACAGCCACTCCTGGACGTTGCGGCAGAACGGCTGTATCAATTCGATTTTTGGCGGGTTGTGGTCGTCGAAAGGAAAACTTTGTACTCGGTTGTGGAACTTGGATTTGTCGTAGTTGCGTTCCGAACACAGGTTGTAGATGAAGTAGTGGTTGTTGTGCTTCGAGTCAAGGAGCTTGACGACGTCGTCGATGTGGTTCCGATAGACTCCTTCGATGTTCGAAGCTGGGTAACCCATGGCGATGATGTTGTCAGTTATGTCTAGTCTGGGTTAAGGAAATTTGCTGGAATGGCGAGACCGAAGACTTTCGACAATGAATTGTGGGCATTAATAAAAAAAAAATGCGGGTCTCGACGTTCGGCTCGTCGTGGATGTCGAGACGAAATTTGCATAAGTTGTATACACGTTTTTTGGTATGTGTAGATCATTCATTATAAAACTTGATTTTATCTTTTTCGTTCCATGAAAGCTAAATTTTCTGACTTAAAAAATAATCTATCAAAGCTGTTCTAATAGTTTTATAGTTGTCACTAATAACAATGTCGCAGATAAGGTTGTAAGTAAGTTACACGCATGTTATAAAATGGCGACTTTATTATTCTATCTGTAATCTATCTATACTTATATAATAAAGCTGAAGCTTTTGTTTATTTGAACACGTTTATCTCAGAAACTACTGGTTCAAATTCAAAAAGTCTTTTTGTGTTGGATAGTCTATGTATCATATCTACATATAGGCTATATAACATCACGCTACGATCATTAGGAGCGAAGTACCACTGAAAAATTTGGAAAAACGGGAAAATTATTCCTCCTTTGAGAGCTTCCGTTGCGTACGCAGCTTAAACGGTTAAAGTTACGTAAAAATCATATATGATGAAATTGTTCCCCTCTAAAAGTTCTAAAGAAAAGTCCGCGACAGCATAATGTCTATCTTTTAAGGTCGACTCAGTATAACCTTTTTTATGGTAATGAAATTTGTTCTAAAATAATAATGCATTATGTGTAAAATTCTCGCGTCACAGTGTTTGTAACCGAACTTCTCCGAAATGGGTTGACCGATCTGTATGAAATTTTTTATGTATATTCGGTAGGTCTGAGAATAGGTTGTAAACTATTTTTTAAACCCCTAAGTGATAAGGGGGGCGCACCCTAAAAAATTTTGGTATATTTTTTGGACAAAATTTTTTATTTTTATTTTTTTAAGAATTGACATCAAAAAATACACGTAACCCTAAATTTTCACCTTTATACCACCAACCCCCATTTTTTAATCTATATAATAAAAATTAATTGCTGTTCCTGTTAGTCTCGCTAAGACTCAAAAACGGCTTGACCGATTTGAAGAATTTTTTATATTACGGGGATGGTTTATAAATAAAAAAAATAAGGAAAACTTAAAAGAACAGTTAAAAAACAAAAAAAATCTAAAAATTTTGTATGGGAATCGCCACTTCGAATTAATTTCAATAGTTGGCGTTTTTGACGGACCTGTCGTCTAACTGATGTGTCATACAAAACTAATTCTTCCGTGCAATTGTGAAAAGTATATTGCATTTCAAATCGTTCTTTGTTTTTCGTAAAAAAAAACGTCGTTTATTTTAAGAAAAGTCTTGGTTAAAGTGAATTTAATTACACATTGAGAAAGTTTCTTATTAATTTTGATCTGCCATTCTATTTACCTATATTCACTTTGTTGGTTTCGACAAAACCTCAAACTTTACCGTTATTCGAGGATTTAATTTGAACTTTTCAATATTTTAAAATTCTCAAGACAAAATTTACAGATTTGATTGACTGTGAAAATAATTCTGTGTCGTTTTATGAAGTTCATTAAAATGCCGAGAAGACGACAGCCTCACATAGGTCCACGAAGTCGATCAAATGTGCGACGAACTACCTCAGGTGCAAACCGCAATGATTTATTTCATGGGTAATTCGGATATGGAAGCTGATCAGCGTTGTGCTCATAATCAACATGAATAAAATGAATAAAACTGAATAGAAACTAATATTCGAAGTACGAAGTACCTACTTCATTATTACTCTTATATACCTGAGCATCTACTCTATGTACTGAGTACCTACTTGGAAACATTGTATCTCCCCGGACACAAATTGAACATCTACGCGTTTTGTGAGCATTTAATCTAAAAATGAGGATCGGCGTGGCAAATAACTGAGCTGTCTGTAAAGCAGCTTAGAAAACGAGTAGGATCGTTGTAAGAGTGAATTTTAACTAAACATGGCGACTTTCATGAACGTGGAACGTCGTCAAAAGGTGCATTCAGTTTGAAAAACACATTAGGAGCATGAATATCGAAAACTTTTCAGGTAATTAACTCTTATTTATGCATAAATTGTGCAGTGCGTTTTTTATAACACTGGCCATAGAGATTCCCATCTCAAGGTGTCTACCCCATACTAACTTATATTTTGGTCACTCGATTTTTGCTTTGATGGTTGAACACTGTCACTGTTGTCCTTTTTTGTTGTATCGAGATGCTACTTGAGCATCAACTGTTACCTACTGAAGTATTAATATCATCTAGGAAAACTAGAAATATTTTGATTTGATATTCGAGTAGGTACTTCGTATTTCGAGTATGAGCATCTATTGAGTTTTATTTATATCAACCATTGTCAAAAAATTGATCGAACGTTGTTTTGACAGAACTTCCTTCGCACCAAAAGTATAATGAAACATATTCAGCATTTTCGAGTTGAGTATTTTCTTCACACAATTTTGAGATGACCTAATCAACACGTATACCACCTTGGATTGGTGCAGTGTAATACTAAAAATAACTGTATTGTATTCCCAAAATTATCTGCGAAAATCGAGTGAGCCATTCCATCAATTTTTTGGGGGCAATAAATAAATATTCTTAACAATTTACCATGCTTACAATAACTTTAAAACGTCTGCAAGATCTCAAAGTATTCATTTTTGCAACTCTTGAGTTATTCACTAAAATAAATTGACTGATCCATATATTTTTTTGAGTCACTGTAAAAGCAAATCTAAAAAATATGAATGCAATGATAAATTACGAAAATATACTGATGATATTTTCCACATTTTCGATAGGATCTATTCGGCAAAATCTTGAGATGACGTCTTCAAGTTTTTGGGCTTGATAAACAGATATATTTTGATTGAAAACCTACCATGTCAAACAGTAACTTCAAAACCTCTGCAATATTTCAAAATTCAGTTTTGCAATTCTTGATTCAATCAATAAAATAAATTGACTCAGTGATTAATTTTTTTGAGACACCCCCTATGAGCAAAACTAAAAAATATGAATGGAATGATAAATCACAAGTATAGTCTCATCCTATTTTGGACATTTTAGATAGGATTCATTTGGCAAAATTTTGGGCTGACGTCATCAATTTTTTGGAGGGGATAAGTAAATATATTTTGATTAAAAATTTATTATGCTTATCATATGTTTAAAACATCTGCAAGATTTCAAAGCATTCGATTTTGCAGATTCAAAATTAAATTGTAGGTGAAACGAAGTTCACGGGGTCAGCTAGTCACATATACTTACTAAATATACAAATTCATTTCTAGTGGAATTAAGCAAGAACAGACGTAGACGCTACTTTCAAATTTGGTATATATTTTTAAACGAACATAAATCTCACAAAATTTTGGAGTTCGTGGCTCACCTACAATAAGAGTGCCGATTTATACAGGGTGATTCAGGGCACTACTCCATGATTTTAATGGCAAATTAGGGGCAATTCTGCATCAAAGTTGTTAAATTTAAAGGGTGTTAAATTGCAAATTTCCATAGTAACGAGTTAAATTCGTAAATCTGATTGGCTGTTTATTTTTTAACAACCTTTAAGTTTTAACAGGTCTGATTCAGAATTGGGCCTATTATGTGTTAAAAAATACGTTAATAATGTTAGTGACAGCATAGTCAATTCTTTCAAATCATGGACTCTTAAAATTTCGTCAATAATCAAAAATATTTTCCATCGTGGTTAATTTATACAGGGTGTTTGGAAAATGGCGGATTAACTCTCTGCTACGCTCTTAACAATCAACTGGTGAGTCTGGGAAAACTAGTAAAAAAATCCTTCTCACATATTGGTGGGGTTATAATGATTTTAAAATTGGTTCTTTTGTTACGTTTAACAACTAAACAACATATTCATTATCACAATAACTAGTAATAAAACTTTTAGTTAATATTTCTCTCGCCCATGACCATGTTTAATTACCATTTCAGTTAGAATGTACAAAGATGTAGTTGTGTTGTTTTTGTAATAACTTGATAAAATTCCATTTAACAACAATGTTTGCCTAATATAAAGCAAAGGTACAAATCAGTAAAAATCGAGAAAACAGTTAAAAATGTTTGACGTATCAAAAGTTGTCAAACTTTTCAAAACCCTACGTTTAAAATGTTCGCAGCTAATTTTAGGTCCCCTGGTTTTTTATTGTCGGATAATAATAAATAATTTAAAGGAATCTGATGTTTTGTTGCTGGATGAACTTGAAAAAATCTTTTTGAGCTTTTAGTGTTTCATTTTTTATGAATTTGAAAAAGTCTTGAGTGCCGCAGTGTATTTTTTTTAATTCTGGAGACTCTTCGGTATTATTCTCGGAGCCCATGGAGATTTTTTTTTGCAAATTATTATTAAAACAATTTTGGGGGACTTTGGTGTTCTATTTTCAGAAAATTCTAACCTGACCTGTTTTTGAGTTAATTTTGGAACCCCCGTTTTATTTTGAAAAATTTAAAACAATCTTGTGGTTCTAGGTATTCCTGTTTGGCAAGAATTTAAAGTGCTTTGGAGTCTCTAGTGTCTTTTCATATATAATCATTTAATAAAATTTCTTAGAGGATACATTATTTGCCAAAATCAATCTTACCTTGGTAGGTACTAACCCCGCCCACCCACTCTCTCTTTTCTTAGAGGGTATGTCATTTGCCAAAAGCAGTTTTATCTTAGCAAGTACTAGCCCCGCCCACCCGCCCTGTCTTTTCTTACAGGGTATCTCATTTGCCAAAATCACTCTTTATTTAGAAGGAACTAGCCCCGCCCACCCACCCTCTCTTTTCATGGAGGGTATGTCATCTGCAAAATCAGTCTTATCTTAGCTGGTACTAACACCGCCCACCCACCCTGTCTTTTCTTAGAAGGTATCTAATTAGCCAAAATCAGTCTTATCTTAATAGCAACTAGCCCCGCCCACCCACCCTCTCTTTCTTACAGGGTATCTCATTTGCCAAAA